CAGATTAAATATTAACTTATATTCACTAATTCAAAATTATTAAATAAAAAATTTCATTAAACATCTAATTTATGATAGATTTAAAATAAATAAATTTATTAAATATCTATTTTCAATAATTTTAACAAAATCATAATAATTACCCTCGGATCACCATACTACATTGATCCTAAATAAAGGGATGAAAAACAAAAAAATTGAAGGGATTCATCTCTCTCCATCTCCTCCGTTTCCACTCCAACTTTCCAAATGCCAACAGACGGTAAACTTTACGTAGAAAAAAAAAAAACATATTGATCTGAACCTTTAGCCAATAACAAGTAGTCCGGTGCGCATGGACTCTGCGGTTTATGTTCGAAACAATAACAATAATTTAATGAAAGATTCACGGAAGGCGAAAAAGCCGAGACTGCTTCCTTTTTCCTTGTAAATAAAATACACGCGAAGACGAAGACGCAGCATAATTCCACTTCTTTCCCTTCTCCGAAGTCAACAACCCGACACCGCCGAAGTTCCTCTCTCCATACTTGTAATAATGGCCTCCGTCTGCAAAGACTACGTCGAGATACTGAAGCCTCGTACAGACAAAAGGGAGTACCGACGGATCGTCCTCAAGAACTCCCTCCAAGTCCTCCTCATCAGCGATCCGGAAACCGACAAGGTACTCTGCAATTCCTTCTCCGTTCTCCCCTTTCTTTCATTCACGTCAGAAATCAACTGTTTCTCAATATTTCTTGATGTCTCAGTGTGCTGCTTCTATGAACGTCGGTGTTGGTTTCTTCTCTGATCCTGATGGTCTCGAAGGCCTCGCTCATTTCCTCGGTACTTCTTCTTTCTATCATGGTTTTCATGCTTAATGTTTCAATTTCCGGGTTCAGTATTAGGTGGTTGGTCTTAGTGGTTGCTTTTTGTTTGATGTATTTTCACAGAGCACATGTTGTTCTATGCTAGTGAGAAGTATCCTTTGGAGGATAGTTACTCAAAATACATCGCAGAGGTAATCTATGTCTTAAATATGGTACAGTCTTCCTTGTTCTATTTGATGGTTGACTTAATAAGAAGGAATGTTACTTTCCAATACGTTATTCTTTCTTTTTTTGCATACGCATATTATGCTATGATTTAGTGCTAGGAAATGGAAGGATGTGATATGTCTTTAGTTGATGAGAAGAGCTGCATCTAATGGAGTTTTTAATTTTTCTAAGCTTGATTAATTATTTCAGAACTCATAGTAGAAAAGAGGATTGTGGACTATGTTAAAGCAATTCATTTCTATCTTTTTATTGACCTCCCGAGTGGTTTATGCACAGCATGGAGGCCGTACGAATGCCTTCACATCTTCTGAGCGTACCAACTTTCATTTCGATGTTAACACTGATGGTTTTGAAGAGGCCTTGGACAGGTAGGTGCTGTTTGATCAATTTTCTGTTTCTGATTAATCCTCTCTGAGGTTGGATTAGTTTTCCTACTTTATTCTTCAGATTTGCACGGTTCTTCATTAAACCATTGATGTCAGCTGATGCAACCACGAGGGAAATCAAAGCAGTTGATTCTGGTTTGCTATTTTCTGGACTTAGTTTAGTATATTGTTTCTCACATTGTTGAATCACAATTTATTCATGCTTATCCTCTCTCTCTCTCTCTCGCTCTCTCTCTCCAGAGAACAAGAAGAACTTACTTTCTGACGGTAGGAGAATGCTTCAGGTAGTAGCTACAATGTTCTGGACTCTCTTTTTTTTAATCAAGTGATTTCAAACCTTTTTTTAAACAAAGATTTCAAGCTTTTGAGTGTGCTAACTTCAACTGCTAAATTTTTTGTTGTTGGTTCTTTTAGTAGAATTAGATCTTATATTTAGATTAGAAGGCACTCCCTTGTTTTAGTTTATTGATTTATATGTCTTTCAGCACAAAGCATTATGATGGCACGTAAGGAATTGAATATTTCTTTGCCAGCATGGCAAGTATCTTACGTATCAATATCTAGACTGGACTTTGAAAGATGGTTTCTATTTACACGCATGCACTTTGTACATGGTACTAAAAAAATTTTAGTTGGTTTAAAATTGATATGAGTGCTGGGTTTTTGCTTTTCATTAATTGAGAGATGGTTTGCTTCATCTTTGGACATTGATTATGGAATTTGCTTACACGAGTCTTTTAATTAGTGTCTTTATAAGTATCTGTATTCTTTCCTTGTAGCTTGTAAAATTACTAAATAAACAAAAGGTCCAGTGACTACTAGGCTTTCTTTTACTGTTTTACCTTCAAAATGTCCTGCTTAATGCTTCAGTAGCATCAACCCCTTTGAAAAAAGCACAAGAAAATATATGGGCTCCTTATCCTCAAGTTCCACCCACCTTCCTCCTTCCTCTCTGCTGAAACCTTGAAACACAACCAGGGCTTTCTGATTAGCTCAAAGTGGATTTGCTTATGCTTATTAATTTGACAAGATATTAATGCTATCAGCTTTGGTTCCTTTCTTTCCCACACTTTAGCAATAATTTTTTTTTTTTTTAATTAAATTCATTGTGCAATACTATCATTGCCTTTATTTGTGTTCATGTGTTTTTTATATTGTGCTGTTTCTTAACAGTGAAATTTCTTAAACTCGACCTAACTGCTTTTTCTCTATGTAAACTTTTCCTTCTTCACAGCTTCAAAGACACATTAGTATGGAAGGCCATCCTTATCATAAGTTTAGTACAGGTTAGAATTTTTTCTAATTCAATTTACATTTCCCTTCATTTATAAGAGATGCATCTAAATCTTGCGGAGCAGTCATTAAGAATTCTGCATTCATCTGCTCCTAAGACTTTCCTTTGCATGTAAAGCTTTTGGATACTCCTTTTATTTTACACAACGGTCAATTATAACTATTACTAGTCCTTTACTACTATTATTTTAGGATTATATGGATGTTTAGGGTAGCTGGTCTTTCTGTCTTTCCTATTTTCTTTTAATTCTTTCTTGTATATGTGGCTCCTTTGTTCTGGTGCAGAGCATTGATGTATAGAGTAATTTAATTTGCTTTGCTTCTCTCTTCCTATCGTTGGTAATATCTCCTTTTTTTGGCCCTTTTGTAATGCTTTTTTGTGTCTTGTGCTCAGTTCCTTTTGTATATTTATGTTTGTCTTTAATCTACTATTTATTTCTTCCTTTTTTTAAAACTGCATTAGAACTTGTCAGAAAATTTATCTAACAAAAATTGAAAATCAAATATGAACATGCTTGAGCATATACAGTTTCTAGCAGTGTGTTGACTGCTCAATCACCTGTAGGGAATTGGGATTCTTTGGATGTTAGACCAAAGGCAAAAGGAGTGGATACAAGGCAAGAGCTGCTTAAATTCTATGAAGAATATTACTCTGCCAACCTTATGCATCTAGTTGTGTACTCAAAAGGTTTGTGACTAAGTTTCCACATGGTTTGGGCTTGGTAACATGAGGATTTGATTTCACACAAAGAAAGTTCGTAACATTCAGTAATGCAACTTCTATCTTTTTGTTGTGGACTCTTAGAAAGTCCTGATGAAATACAGAGCCTGGTGGAGGATATGTTCCAGGAAATTAGGAACTCTGGTAGAAGCTTCCCGAGTTTTCCTGGTCAGCCTTGCTCATCAGAACATTTGCAGGTTTGTAGAAATCATGTTATTACACCTGTTTCAAAATATAAGGCCTTTGACTTTTTTGCATGTATTTTTAGAAAATATTTTTTTATAATGTGTAAATGAAAATTAAAAATATTTTTAGATCATATGAAACTAGTCAACAAGAATTACGTATAGAAAAAATGAAAATCTCAATTATCATTCATATACTATAAAAAGGTATTACCTAAAGTTAGTTGTAAAAAAGTCAAACGAATTATATTTTAAAACAGGGAGAGTACTGAGTAAATGCATACATTTGATAATTTATGGCAAGTAAGAAGTAAACGTTTTGGTGGTAGGATTTTAGCACTGCTACTTATTTGTCCATCTTTTATGTCATTGGTTGTTTCAGATTCTTGTTAGAGCAGTTCCAATAAAAGAAGGCAACAAATTGAGGATTGTGTGGCCAATAACTCCAGCAATTCATTATTACAAGGAAGGGCCGTGCAGGTATCTTGGTCATCTTATTGGCCATGAAGGAGAAGGGTCTTTGTTTTACATCTTGAAAAAACTGGGTAGGTTGTTCAAATATTTTGCATGCATTAGGGTCGAATTCTGAAATATCTTAAAACATATTGTCTTCACAGAAGTTGATTTTGTTTGTTGACGTGTTTTGCTTTTTCTTAGTAAATAATATGTAAGAAAAATGCTATGAGAATCACAATAATAAAATTTTTCTAGAGTATCTTTTTTGTTTTTGTTGTCATAAGCATTGAATTTATAGCAGATTTTTCTGCCAAGAAGGTGATTCATTTCTTGAGGGTTTTGGTGTATAACATTTTAACTTTTCTGTATAAAATTTAGTTGAATAGAATCCAAATAAATTTAATGGTAATTACTCAAAAATATATGTATATAGGCATGTCTTTGTTATTCAAGTTCGCTTCTTACTTCTTGCAGGCTGGGCTACAGGATTGTATGCTAGTGAAGGAGCGTGGACTTTGGAATTTTCTTTTTTCGAAGTAGTTATTGATCTTACAGATGCTGGTCATGGTAAATTGTTTATTTGTACTCATTTACTCTCATCTTCCATGTATTTGATTGATTTATAATTCTTTGAACTATTGTTTTTTGGTAGTTGTTGCTTGGCATTGTTTTATTTTTGTTGAATCTGTGATACTGTTTTTTATATTTTTCTTCAATAAATCACTTTTTTTTTTTCTCAGATCACATGCAGGATATAGTAGGATTGCTATTTAAATACATTCAACTTTTACGGCAATCTGGTGTTTGCAAATGGATATTCGATGAGGTATGATTCTGTTTGAGCAGTAGCTGATCTATGTTAATTATTTTTGATATTCATGCTGGAGATGTGGGAAGAGACCAGTCTTTCACATTTTATTGGATTCTGACATTTTATTTGTCATGAAGCTTTTAGCTGTCTGTGAGACAGGCTTTCACTATCAGGACAAAGTCCAACCTATTTATTATGTTGTAAACATTGCATCAGAGATGCGGGTAATTGACTTCATTCCTTCTCTTTCCTCTTTAATTTATCTTTTTCTATTTAACCCTCTTTAATTTATTTACATTTTACCAATGGCTATCTTGTGTAGTTTTGACTTGAAAAACTCTGCTAGGTTAGTCTATATTTATATTATAGAATCGCTTCATTCTGGTATTGCTTTCACAAGGATTTTTCCAAATAAAAAAATAAAAATTGACCGCATGTTGTCATGGTTATGCTGTGCTAGTTGAAGTACATGAAAAGCAAAGTTTATCTTGTCCAAGTTATTGTAAATACATCCAAGATTGAAATCTCATCAAACACAAGATGCTGGTTCCTTTGTTCCGTAGAGTATTTTTATTGGGAATAACATCAGAAGAATGTTATTTCTTGAAAGTATTGAGTTCTTTTTGGCTAGTGCATTTCTGTTGAAACTTGAACAAGAATAGATGATAGTGTTATGTAATCCCTTTTTAAACAAAATTCTCCAGATCACCAATTATTTTACCGGTCTGCTTGATCTTCAATCACTTAAAATGCATAACATCTAACCTCTACCGTACTATAATTTCCAACCAAGGGAGAAACACATAAAAATCCATGTTTGAAAATAATGTGGATTTTAATCTATTGTGCTTTAAAGTTTCAAAGTCCTTGCTTATATATATTTTTTCTTTCATTCGTGTAATTGTTTATTTTTTCCCATCAACTCTTGTAATTGTTAGGTGTTGAGTACTTGAGTTTTTCCTTGTTCATATTTTGTTGCCTTAGAGGTGTTGACTGTGGTTCTATTCTTGCTTTTTAATTTTTTGGGATCCCACTTCGCCTTTTTCATTTTAAGCTTCTAAAATCAGAACCCTCAATGCCAAATTTACTTACATGTAACTTATTCCATTCATCCTAGATTGAGTTTGTGAATATTACCATGACTGGACTACATGAGTCCACTAGTCTCCTAATTGTATATCTTTTCACTTTATTAACAAAAATTAAGTGGACCATGTTATAACTGTTCAACTACTGTTGTCTTTACATTCTTGGACCAAACTACAACTGAAGAATGACCATCCTAATAATTCTTCTCTACAATTCTGTATTCAACTTGACTAATCTAATTTCTACATGCTTAAATGATGCTTTTGAAATTGTTTTCAGATGTATCCTCCTAAAGACTGGCTTGTGAGATCATCAATGCCTGCAAACTTCAATCAAGACATCATACAGATGGTACTTAATGAGCTTTCTCTGGATAAAGTCCGGTGAGCACTAGAGAAAACTTTAGAGTAGAACCAATGTTGTTGCGTTTACCTGTATTGCTTTTCATTTTGGTCACTTGCTTTTTACATCCATATAATTCAACAACTGATCATCTTGACTGGTGATCTAGCTTGCTTGTTTGAAATTGGTTAAACAAGAAAGGCTGTACACATACGTTATGGTGAATGTTTAGGTAGATAATAGTGGTAAACAATGAATCAAGAAAAGAAGGCTGTTATTTATGTGATATATGATGTATTATTTTAGATCTTCAAAATTTTTATAGAAACGATGTTGATATATAGAAGGCATAACCAAATAAGTTCTCAAAAACTTAGTATCATATAGTTTAATGAGTAATTTAGTATCATATAGTTTAATGAGTGTTAGAATAAGGCTGAAGTGAGTGTTCAAAAATTAATGCAATTCTTTTCTGATGTTCACTTTTGGGTATTGCAATTCATACATTACACACAAATAAGTTCTCAAAAACTTCAATTTCTATTTTTTATTTAGGATTTTCTAATAAAAACAAAGTTAAAAATAAAAATCCAAAACCATAGAAATGTGTCAAAAAACCATGCCTCTTATTTTTGGCATATTTCTCATAATGCTGTAACCAGCTATCTGCATTTTTCCAGTTCAAAGGTGGTTTTGGTTCTGTGTGGTTATTTTTTTCTGACAAGCTCCATGGTTTACAGAATCTTCTGGGAGTCAAAGAAATTTGAAGGACTTACTGACATGGTGGAACCATGGTATGGTACTGCATATTCCATTGAGAAAGTCACTACATCCATGATTCAGGTTTGTTTTTGGGTTTTATGTGTAATGCCTGATTTTTCATTGTTCATGTTAAGTGATAGCATTCCACATCCTGAATTTAAGGGGAAACCTTTGGTCTTAAATACCACGTGGACTACTCCACCTATTGCTAATTGTTTTAGATTGGATGTTGGCCTTTCAAACTTTATCATATTGGAAAATATCAGATAGCTACAACATATATGGGTTTTATTGTATGGATTTCCACTTACAGGAAGAAACTTGGATAAAATGATTATATCTCTGTTGCACTGTTGCCTGTGTCTCAGATGAACCATTGCCCCTTTGCACTGTAGCTAAATTTCAAATTAATTAAGCCTATTTGGTTTTTGTAATTGAAGCCTTTGAAACTTAAGTGCCTGGTGAAATCTTTGGCTGCAGGAGTGGATGTCTATGGCTCCTAACGAGAATGTGCATCTACCAGCACCTAATATCTTCATCCCAACAGATTTTTCACTTAAAGATCCGCAAGAAAAGGTTTGATAAATCCCTCATTTTGGTCTTAAACAATCATTTGTACGTAGTTTTTCTGATTAATTTGAGTTTGGAACAGATCAAGTATCCAGTTTTACTTAGGAATTCATCCTATTCAAGGGTATGGTACAAGCCTGATATAATGTTCTCCTCTCCTAAGGCATGTGTTACGATAGACTTCAACTGCCCCTATGCTAGCAATTCCCCTGAAGCTCAAATTCTTACTTCAATTTTTGCTCAGTTGGTGATGGATTACTAGAATGAATATGGTAAGTTAGATTGCATACTTATTGTTGTTTGTGTTCAAATAATTGAATAAAGATTTACTATCTTTTATGGTAAAATTATAAGTTTATAGCCTTTAAATAAATAAATAAATATGCAATGGTGTTTCAATTTTCCCTTTCCTTGCATGGGCTACTGTCTTCCACATTATTTCTACTGGGTCTGTAGATTTTTTTTTTAATATATTATTCCATTTTTCAATAGCACTATATTTTGACCAACTTGTTCAACATCTTCCCAGCTTACCATGCCCAGGTTGCTGGCCTTCATTACTACATAAGCAACACTGATAGGGGTTTTGAGGTATTTTTTTCCCTTTTTTATATGGATTTTTCCCCCTTTTTTTAATATGGATATTGTCTTAATAGTTTTTGGCTGCAACTTGGCATCCATATAACAAATTGGACAGGTCTTTTCTTCTCTTCTCTTCTCTTTCTTTTTTAAAATAGAAGAAATCCATTTCAGTTTATCTCTATTTTTCTTGATTTTTGAACATTTTTTACCATCTTATCTTATATCAAGCATCCATACAATTAGTTGGTATGGGAGATCCATTTTAGACCAGACTGCTTTTGAATATATGTGATTGTTGCTTTGCTCAATGGGATACTGAACACTATCATGCCAGCTTCCTCCTAAGTTAACATATGCACTGGTTGATGATAGAACAAATTCTGGTCAGCTGTAACATTTTATATATATATCAGAGCTACAGATGGAATAGATTTCTGCTATTTTTTTTATTGGCTTGACCTTCTTCTACACTGATATCTACGCTTTGTGCACTTCAGACCGTGAAAAAATTCCATGAAAGGTTATCATTTGGTAGTATTTTCTCTGTTTGATGTTTTGTTTTTGTAAGTAACCAGTTCTTCTTCAGGTGACATTGGATGGATATAATCACAAACTACGGATCCTACTGGAGACTGTTGTTGATAAAATTGCAAAATTTGAAGTAAAACCTGACAGGTTTTCTGTAATCAAGGTAATGAAATCTAGCAACTCCAGGTATTGTAGATGTCACTCTATTTTGTTTTTGCCCCTGATTTTACTCTTTAACATACAACAAAATAATATCAGCTGAGACCTAGCTTCTGGAATGTATTTTACGTGTTCAATTGTCTCCTGACACTTTGTAAGCTTCATCATGTTATTGCCTATTCGGCCTCACAGATTTATGCATAACCATTTAGTTTGCCCACCTAAAGAGGTGGCATTTCATCACTCCCATCATTATACATAACTACCTCCTCATAATACAGCCTTTTAAACATGCTAATGTATAACATGATTGCTCTAGACTGTGGCGGGGGGGTCTTTTATTTGAGTTTCTTTTTCTTAGTCTCTGAGTTGCATTCTCTAGTGTCCTCTAAATTTCTTCCCACTCCTGTCCTTTTTTCAGGAACGGGTAACACAAGACTATCAAAATCTGAAGTTTCAGCAACCTTATGAGCAGGCTATGTACTATTGCTCATTATTATTGGAGGACTGCTCATGGCCTTGGATGGAAAAACTTGAAGGCCTGCCAAATGTTAAAGCCGAAGACCTTGCCAAATTTGCTCCCATGATGCTCTCAAGGGCCTTCCTTGAATGTTACATAGCAGGTCTTTCTTATTCTTCTTCCCCTTTCACCCCAATAAAGTTGCTGGCTTAGGTTATGTTTGCTATATTCTAAATATTATTTTATTATCTTTTAGGTAACATTGAACGTGCTGAGGCAGAGTCAATGATACAGCATGTTGAAGATATTTTCTTTAAGGGCTCAAACCCTATATGTCAACCATTATTTCTGTTGGGTTTTTTAAAGCAAAGAAAGAAAAAAAAATGGAGAGAACCGAGAGGAAGAAGATGAAGAGCAGAGCACATAAAATGGAGAGGAGTATATCACTCCAACTCAGAAATATCATTGATATTTTGCTATATTTATAGCAAAAACAACATAATAAAAAATAATTTTCTCACCTAATATTTTAACCCATACAAAAGCATTTAAAAAAAAAAGATTACATTCAAAGATTTACTGCCATTTCGTGCAGCTCCATGTTGTTGTACTGTGCTGCTATTTGCAGCCTTTCATTTGCATTTGCATTTGCATTTCATCTGCTGTTCATTTCAGCCTCATTTCCACAACATTTGCAGCTTTAGCTTGCTGCACTTTGCTGCTACCGTGCTATTGGTGCAGCTCTCCCTTCATTTTGCTGCCATTTTGTGCAGCCTTTCATTTTCATTTGCTGCTACTTTTGCAGCTTGAACACCACAACTCTAACAATTTCCATCCCAGCATCTCACAAACAGAGTTGTAAAACTTGAAAGAGGCATGAATTACTTCTACTCCAAGGAAGGACTAAATCCAAGTGATGAGAATTCTGCCCTTCTCCACTATATTCAGGTAAATTACATTTGTTTTGGAATCCACAAAAAGATACTCAATTTTGTGAGGGCATTTAGTCATCTAATTCTAAAATACTCTTTAAGTTATTAAATAAGTTATTAAAATGGTTTGCAAATGGCTTAGTTATTAAATCAAAAAATCCTCAGTTACTATATCATATTGCGTAAGTTATCTTGTGGTCTTATTTGATATCTAAGTAGTGTGATTTCTATTTTTGCCAGGTAAGATTTGTCGCTGATCTTATTCTTAGTAGGGTTTTGATGTCTTATAAAAATAATAGATTTCTAATGTAAGGTCTTCTGTAAATGTCCAGGTTCATCGAGATGATTTTATGTTGAATGTGAAACTTCAGCTTTTTGCTCTTATTGCTAAGCAACCAACTTTCCATCAGCTTAGATCTGTTGAGCAACTTGGGTACATTACTGTTCTCTGGCAGAGGTATGATAAGTTTCCCATCCACGAATTTAGACATCAGTATCTTATATCTTATTTAAGTTTACTTTTCTGCTCATTAGGAATGATTTTGGAATCCATGGATTGCAGTTTATTATCCAGTCCACTGTGAAGGTAAATGTTGTTGTTTTTTCCTTTCTATATACTATTTGTCATCTTGATGATTCATCCCTAAAACTTGGTCAACCTGCACAGGGCCCAGAGCATATTGATTTGAGAGTTCAGGCATTCCTCCAAATGTTTGAGACCCAACTTTACAAGATGACCCAGGATGAATTCAAGGTAAGATTGAAGTAGATTTGAGTAGCTATTCTTCAATTCATTTAGGTTTACTTGAACCTCTATCATAAGGTCCACATTAGTGTGCTGCTGGATACCATTCAGACTAGGTGTGTCCACCTGCATGCATTTTTGCTTGTCCATGTATGTGAATATGTTTTTGTGGGTGACCATTATGGTAAACTCAGTGCTGAACTTGTGGTCACGCAGAGCAATGTAAATGCATTGATTGATATGAAGCTTGATAAGCACAAGAATCTAAGGGAAGAATCTAGGTTTTACTGGACAGAGATCTCTGATGGAACTCTAAAATTTGATCGGATAGAAGCTGAGGTATGTAACCTTTCTGATTGTATTTCACCTGTAAGAGAGTAAATAAACATCCATTGGATTCATTGCAGGACTTATAAATGTAATAGGGAGACATGAAAATCACGTTTGTGGTCTTCATTTCTCTCCATGAACACCATCTGCAAGGAATATAAATCAGTAATAAGGTGAATGTTAATCGTGTGTTCTAACAGGTTGCAGCACTAAGGCAGCTTACACAACCAGAACTGATAGACTTTTTCAATGAGCATATAAAAGTCGGTGCACCGCAGAAGAGGACCCTGAGTGTACGTGTGGTTGGGAAGGAACATTTAGTAGAGTATAGAGCCACGAAAAGTGAAGTGGTTCAACCAGCCGAAATTGATGACATACTTAGTTTCAGAAAATCATTACCTCTTTATGGTTCATTCAGAGGAGGTGCTGGTCTTGTTAAATTGTAGTTTTGAAGGAGAGGAGCGGAATCAGTGTTGGAGCTTCAGCTCTTAAAATGGAGACACAAACTCAAACCAGCTTAGGTCACCGACAAAGCTCAATGTTCGTTAGTTATCTGCATGGTACACAAACCGTGCCAATGAAATTGTAACTTTACATTTAGTTTTTTCTAATTTCTTTCTAGGACTGAAAATGAAACTAAAGTCATACATATATGAAAGAAATTTGCTTCTGCTTTAAAGAACTTAAATAAAATGAAAGCAGAAAAGAATGCTAAGTGATGTAAGCGGAAACTAATAATTGTGTTTGTTTTGTAAAATAGTGGGAAACTAGTCGTGATTCTTGTGTAAATGCTATTATCAAAGTGTGCATTTTTCTATCTTTTTGATTTGTTTAGTAAATAGCTTTCTTTCTACAAACACCTCCGAATCCGCTGCAAACGAACTCGCCATTCTCTGCTCCAAAAAGGACACAAAAGAAGCCTCTGAGAAGAGGTTTAAGCCTCAAATATGGGTAGACCTATCTTTCCTTCTCTCTCCTTATTCATTCTTGTTATCTTCCAGAAATCACTTTCTTTAGGAAAACTACTCCATTCTTTGATAAATGTATCTGGTTATATTCCCGATTCAGTCCCTGAACTTTCATTTTTGGACTAAAAATACCCTCAAACTAAAAAAAGTACTAAAAAAATCCCTAAACTTCAATTTTTGGAACCAATTTCGTCCTTCCGTCGACGGAAGTGCCAGATGGCACGTTAAGTTGCCACGAAATCAATTATTGTTTGCAATATTTAATTACATGGAAAATAACTTATTATCCACGTCATTTTAATTAATTTATATATTAAAAAATTTAAAATTTCGTAA